GCGCTGCCCCCCACTTGATGTAATACCTACAATGTTTTTACTAATAGTAATGGATTCTGTTGGGCCCCATTTGATCTCAGCTCCCTATCTACTGGTTGTGTCCCTGATTATTTTAAAACGGCTTGCGTGAACCCACTTTTAAAGAAACCTGGTTTAGATCCCTCCCTCCCACAAAATTTTAGACCAATTTCAAAACTGCCTTTTATTGCAAAGATTTTAGAAAGAATTGTGTCCAAACAGCTGCTCACTGTACTGGAAAATAACAAAATATTTGAAAAGTTTCAGTCTGGTTTCAGGAAGTACCACAACACTGAGACTGCTATGCTTAAAGTCACCAATGACTTTTTAATGTTTGCTGATGAAGGCATGTGCTCAGTCCTGGTACTCCTGGACCTTAGCGCTGCTTTTGACACCATTGATCACAACATCATGTTAGACAGGCTGAGGCACTGGGTGGGGATCTCTGGTACTGCCCTAGAATGGTTTTCATCCTACCTGTCAAATAGGAAGTTTTGCTTGTCTGTAAACAACTATGTCTCTTCGATCTGTCCAGTTAAATATGGTGTGCCTCAGGGGTCGGTCTTAGGACCCATTTTGTTTTCCTTGTATCTGCTTCCCCTTGGACATATTATCCATAAACATGGTATTTATTTTCATATTTATGCTGATGACACACAAATGTACTTGCCCGTCAGATCCACAGACCCTGGAATGCTGAGTTCACTTAACAACTGCCTTTGTGAAGTTAAAAAATGGATGTCAAATAATTTCCTCCAGCTGAACTCAGACAAAACAGAAATCCTGGTCATCGGGTCCCAACAGATGGCAAAACAAATACTGCCATCTACTAGTCCCATACACACCAGCACGTACCTTGAGATCCTCGGGCAGAGGTCTGTTGTCTGTTCCAGAGTCTCGACTGAAACTAAAGGGGACAGAGCGTTTGCAGTCAGGGCCCCGAGGCTCTACTAGTTTAATAGTTTTTATACTATAAGTGTACTTGTAAGTTTTCTTTCAGTGAACTTAACATCATACTTATAGTTTACTATTTATATATTATTTTTGCGCTGTGTACTACTAGGTTACTACTTACATATTAGTATTATACTTGAAATATACCTTTTACTGTACTTTATGTACACTTGATGTTAACTCACTCTACCAGTGGACTACACATATAAATATTCACAAGACAAACTCAGGAGTCAAAATAGTCATTTACTTTATAAATCAAAGTTTTCAAACAAATATTGTTTTGGATGTCCAGTTCAAACAAAGGACAACACAGTACGAACACATAGCTAGCTACCCACAAACAGGTTGTACTTCTTTAGTTTCTGCATTTAAAATATACTACTAAGTTTCCCATTAGCTTATAGTATTTATACTTGAAATAAACCATTAACTGTACTTTGGGCATGCAGACTTGATGTTAACTTGCATGTACACAACCAGCGAACTATACATGAACACAAGGTAAAACTCGGGAATGAAAATAGTTTTTTTCTCTACAAATCAAAGTTTTAAACAAATATTGTTTTGGATGTCCAGTTCAACAAACAGTATAAACACATATGTAGGGTCACTAGCTCCTAGGTTGTACTCCTCTAGTTTCTGCCCTGTTAAATGGCAGAGGAACCACAAAACTAAATGTTCTTTTCATACGGTCTTCTTTGCAGTAGCTTGGTTGGTGTAGCTTTCGTTGTTGCATTTTTTTCTTATGATGCGTCTCACATCATGGATGCTGATGTTAGGAAATTTCGACAGAGCATGGCCTGTGAGTTAAAACACAAATACAAATCAAAACATTACTTTATAACTGATTTCTCTATCACCAAATTTACCATCCAGAATTAACACAATAAACAGTCAAAGGAGCATGTAGGGATATGCAATTCAACTTGAGTTTTTTTTTTTTTTTTTTCAGATAAGTTTCTGAATATTAATGCAATCTGCAAAATACTATATTGACATGTAACTGAAAATGTCCTTTAAACGCCTACCTTTACATAGATTAGGGTAAGCGTTTTTAGGGCATCATCAAAGTGGGCTTTTTGTGTGCATTGTTTGCATAATTTGTTTGCCACATTCACAAATCTGAGCTGATGATCCCAGATTTGACTTTTAGAGATTAGAGGCTTTTCACATTATGTTTGAAAGGTATAATTTTTTTCCATGTTGGAGGTAACAGTAATTGAACCACCGTCACCTCCAACATGGAACACTACAGTCATTTTGTAAAAAGAACTGTATGAGTAATGCTTAGGAATTTATTTTTAATGAAATTTTCCTTTAATTAAATGCACTCACCAACTATAGCTTCAAGTTTTGTGTTATCGAGTTGTGGCTTGGATTCCATGTCTTTGTGTGCCCCAGACTGTCTCCCCGTCAAACTTGAATGGGACAGCGTTTCCCTGCCGTAGACAAGCACAGCAAGGTCCCCTATGTAGACCGATAGATTTGCAGTCCGCAGACAGTTAAGCTTTCGTCTAGGGACTTTGACATCAGAGCCTGGCACAAGAGACACCTGCAAAATAACAGACTGATCACTTAGATTGTAACTGGTCTAACATTGTTTTTACACAACAAAGTTATGAAAATACAATCATACACATTCCCCGGGAAATCCATGTATTCATCAACACTGCAGTTTGCATATTAACCAAGTTATTATTCCCTGACAAGACAGGAAATCTGGGAGGTGTTTTATTTCCCAATAAAAAACATGAATTAGAGTGCAAAATGCTACTGTGCCACGCAAGGGAGAACCTTGCCACACGGCTGTGTAGTGTCTGCATTGACATTAACCTTTCCAGTGGGAAAAGTGGGAATACCTCCTTGGTTTATGTGATTTTCCAGGTAATGTGTATAGTCACTGCCAAGTCGTTATAGATGTACCGACAAATTTTATAATCAACATATTTACACATGGACTGTGACATATCTATGTATGAGATTTAGTTACCATATCATCAGACACCACTTCAGGAGAAACGCATGCAGAAGCTGGTGAGTCTACAGATGCTGTTGGTGTTGACCAGTTGGATGCAGAAGTTGAGGTCTGGTGTGTGACTTTTTCAATTACTTCTTTCAACTTTGTTACTACTACCGGAAGCTCTGTTAAAAGAATGAAGATATAAATGATTATAAGACCAAGGTGCAAAAGCTTAGATTGTCTGCAGGTTTCAGCAAGATTAATATAAGACATGTTAAGAGTTTTTTATGCCATCTGATTATATTTAATAAAAAAAAAATAGGAACAATTTTTGACAATTTTGTGCTTTTTTTCGAAGGCTTTCATTAGTATTTAATGAACCAAGGAAACCTTCCAATTTATATGACTTGGTGGATAAAGGGGGAATGTTGTCAGCGTTCACCCATTAGGCAACATGAAGGTGTTGGTCCAAATTGACTGGCAATCTTTAATGTCAATGTCTTTAAGTTAAGTGTACGAAACTGCCATTTTCAGGCTTTGACTTTCAGTGATGCAAAGATTTTTTTATTTTTCTATCTGGCCGGTATTCTTTGGTTGCTTTGAAATCAACAAACACGTACCCATTTAAATCCATTACATTAGGATGATGGTTGCCAAGTAATCAGGAGGAAATAGAAAGAAATATATTTTATTATTTTCATTGCGGGTATATTGTTCCTTTAAAAATTTCATGTTGCTTTATTTTCTCTGCATTTTTTTATCTTGTCTAAGGGCAAATTATTTGTTTCTTTAAAATCATAAAATTACCTCTCATGGCATCTAGTATGTCTTCAACATTGCCTTCTTTCAGCCTCTTGTTCTCTCTTTTAAGTTCCTTTATTTGCAGCTGTGCCTTACTCCAGTTCCTGGGCAGTAGGTCCTCATCTGATGACTCCTTTTCAGAAGTTGACTACACCAACACACAAAGACAAAAAAACTCTACAGTGTCAGACACAAGATTAAATAGTCTCCAGCCTCTTTACCAGCAAAGTCACATACAAGCTAGTACTTCAATGAATCACTTAAATAATTTACCTCTAAAGATGCTCGCTTAGCCACCAGCTCCTTCTTCAGGTCTTCAATCATTTGGTCTGCTGTCTCTTTTGAGGTACAGGTTGCCCTTTTGCTCTTTTGCTGTCAAAATGACAATTGAAAGTTTTTTAATTCATAGTTTTCAGTCACGTGACATTTGCGGTACCTGGAGGGCAAAACAACAGACCAACACAACGGCTCACGCCGCGACTCCCCCTTAGAGACTCCGCAAAAGCAGTTACATTTATTTGGATCATCTCTTAACTCAACTCAAAAAGAAAGCTGCGAACACAAACGCAAGTATTGGGCACTTCCAATCCATGTTCCAGCATCCGCTGCCATATTTCTATCGTTAAAAAGCGCCAGGTCCCTGCTGCCGCTCGACTGCGGTAATGTTTTCGTTTACATTGTGGGGAATCCCTCACCTAACACAGCTCGGGCTTGTGTTTTCCTCGATTTGTGCATCAGAAAGTACAACAACCATCCAGCATTTTGGCAACGCAAAAGTGAAAAACTCATACTAACAGTGCATCACTTGCTTCCTGGTTGGCAGGCAGTGAAAAATAACGTCAGTTTTGCTCTCCAAGGGAGCGTTTTTCATGGAATGTGACATCACTTGAAAACTATGAATAGCATGTATGTGCAATAACAGTGATTCTAAAAACAAACAAAGAGAGATTTGAGGCTAATATTGGCTAATTATTGTTTAAATTCTGAGGGTTTAAAGGTTGTGATGATGTACAAATCAATAAATATCAGTTAAACAAGAATCACAAATGTTTATTTATCAGAAATGGTGAAATACTTCTAGTATTAAATCAAACATTACCACATTTACAAACTTTCATAACTATCATAAAGCATCTACCATGAAGAAATCATAAAAGTAAAAAAAAAACAAATGGCATTACTTGTAATTAGTGACATAAAAATGGCAAACTAAGATACTAAAACTTGATTACATTTAAATATGCTTTTGCTTTTCAGTTTAAGTTTTCTTCACATCAATATTGAGTAAGGAAACTAACTTAACTTACCTATTTTGTTGGCCTTTCGTCCTCCTCTTCCACATCCTTCATCCACCTAGTGTTTGGCTTTGTCTTCCTCTTGAGTGTTTGGTTCCAGATGTCTTCACCCTTTATGAATTCCTCCCTCTTCTTGCAAAGGTCACTGTAGTTGTCTGTGAAAAGAGTTTGTGTAAATTACACTGAGCAAATTAAAATCCCGACTGGGTCTTTGGGCTATGTCTTTAAGCTCTCCCTAACAGACAGCTTGTTGGCAATATTAACATTATCCACAATTTTAAATTATTAGTATCCAAAAACACAAAACAAACCCAGTTATGCTAATCCTTGAAGTTAACCATTAACATTAAGCTAGGTGACAGATTAAGTGCTAGCAAATTTACCCCCGAGCATTAACACCTTAGCAGGAAAAAAGGCCGGACCATCTTTCTTTTTTCTGCCTTTGTTCCACTTAACATTTATCCATCCATCTTCATCCTATAGTTTGGGGCACTCTGTGACCATTTTTTTAAGATTTTTGCTGGTCTTCAACACTCATCCAATCAATTTTTCCAACTTCCACGGTTTTGTCCTTGAAATAATATATCGCAAATGCCATTGTGGAGGATAATTAATATATTATCACTGACAATTATGTTTGTTTTTGGCAACCGCGACCGTTAGTTAACATCAAAGATGCTGTACCGTCGGGTGAGATGCGCGCGAACCACAGCTCTTTGACGCAAACGACGCAAACGGTGCAAACGGATCGCACGGCCTGCTATCGCGAGAGGTGCGCGACTGCATCGAAAAGCATGTTGGGATTAAGCGGGAGATTTAGCTTGCTTCTGTAGTTGGCTAACGTTACCTTATTTTTATATGGCCACCTCTCGGTCCAGTTTGACGTTAACAGCAGATGTTTTTAGCCGTGCACAACAAGCGAATTAATGGCAAAACGTCTAGGACCTTACAAAAGATACTTGCGCGGCACAGACGCAGTACCAAGGAGAACTAAGTTCAGATGGAATGCAAAGGTAAGTTACTTTGGACCACTTTTATTTCTGTTCAAAGTCAGATTACACAGGACAGTTGTAATTTACTGCTGGTCTTGCGCTAATCTATCAAGATGAGGCTTCATTTTAAATGTATGGATAATGAAGTGTCTACAAACAGTAACGTTACAAATAGCTATATGACTAAAACGTCTCTTTGTCTCTCAAATGCAGAGAAGCCAAGAAGATGGCAGTTCAAGTTCAAATATGAGGATGGTGATGACAGTTACCTAAATGTGGTCAGTATGAATGATGATCAGGCTGACGCTGCAACTAATATTGTCATTGTCGATTAATCATTTAAATGTTATAGTAATGACAAACACCCACCAGAAGTTCCCAGTGCCTATAATGATCTCTTCAATAGCTTCCTGAATCAGATCAGCAGCCAGAAAAGGCTTTTACATTTTTTTAATATTATAATGCTATGAAAGAAGGGAAAGCAAATAATTCTTAGTATTTGTGTAGCTATAACCAGCTAATGTTTGGTATTTTTACTTTGTAAATGACTAAAACTATTAATTTATTATCTAAGTTAGAATTAAATTTCCTGCTAATCAAAATTGGATTTTTTTCAGACCTAGCTACCTCATTAAATAAATATAGACATATTTATAAGCATTCCACTTTTGTCCTCAAGTTGTCAAATAGATGTTTACCATTATTCTCATATCACAGTTTCCTGCACATAAACAGTAATATCTAATATCTATTAATTGTGGTACAAGACAAGCCTGTCATTTCTTGAAATGTTCCTTGGCATTTTACCCTTCATGTTTTTTCCTTTGTTAACCTTTAGAACAACAATAAAGGAGATGGAGTAAACACAGAAGATGACATGAGGAATGCATCCAACAGTGAAGATGAAGAGGATGAAGTAGACAATGAAGACTTTTCCACAACTGGGCTGTTGGGTACTGATATTCAAGAGGTAAATACATAATTACACAGTTTTAGCCCCACTGGTTATTATGTGTTCTTTCCAACCTATTGCTCCAAGGCGACAATGCTGGGCCGACTGCAAATTGGTGAGCACATTCATGCTTCTCAGAGGATGTACCCTGTCAACTATGTTGACATTATTACTTTTTGTCCAGTGCCACCCTAACTCCATTCTCCCACTCCTGGCATTCTCCTAATATGCACCAAGCCAGTGGCAGCAGAGGACCTGCACAAATTCAATGAGATTATTTTATTCATCAAATATTTTTTTCTCTTTCCCTTGTTAACTTTCAGAACAGTGAGGATGACCAAATAAACACAGAAGATGACTTGAATTTTGCTTCCAACAGTGAAAACAAAGATTATGAAGTGGACAATGAAAACTCCTCCACAAGTAGCCTGTTGGATACTGACATTGAAGAGGTAAATACACAAATGTGCATTGCACAGTTTTTATCTTAACTAAATAAATGCCTACCCTTTAAATTAAGTCTTTCAAGTCATCTTTTTATGTTGTTAACCTGCAGAACGAGCATGACCTATCAGATTCCAAAGCAAACATGCTTGATGCTGCAAGGAGTGAAGATGAAAACGATGTGGACAGTGAAGATTTGATTAAGGGCAACACTAGTGGAGAAAACACATCTGAATTTTCTGAGGTATGTAGTAAGTGGTTCAATGACATGGTGTTAGTAGTTAGTGTAATAGCTTATGTAAAAAAAGTCCGGTTCATGAAATGAGTGCATTAATAGTCAATATAAAATAGCTATGGGCTAGCTATTTCCCATGGATAGATAGAAAGCTATTTGCTGTGTCTAAATCACCTGGGGAAATTGCAGTGCGTTGCCTAGAAATCATGTTTTAGGATTTTGTTACATTATTTGACACCTTATTTTATAGTTGTGTGAGGTAGAGTTGAGGAACCAGGAAGTAGTGCAAGGCTCTCTATTCTATTTTAAATATAACACTGTGTGTAAATGTGGAATTCAGTAGGGCTGGTTCCAAATACTTGACCGTTCGACATTCGATTTTCAATTTTGAGATTTGATTGTTGAGTTTTTTTCCACGCGCCTGATCTCCACTGACAGCAGTGAATGTAACACTCCAGTTCACATCAAAGGGAAAACAATGAAGCCCTAAGCTTTGTGGGAGCACTTTCAACTGAGTGATGACTGCAGTTGTATGGAAGAGAACAACGATTTGATACTTACCGTGATAATTAGCGATATTGAAAGATATGCAACTTTTTATATGTAACATTTTTGTCCATATCGTCCAGCCCTAGTAGCTACTCTTTCTTTTGGGATTGCAGCTTGATAGGATATGTTGAAAGTATTATCAGTTTTGTTATAATCCATGGCAAGCATTTCAAGAAAATTACATTTGCTAAAATTAAACACAGTGTGCTAGACTGATAGTCCTGATTCGTTCTCTCTCTCTCTCTTTCTCTAGGTCAGTGAAGACACAGCAGATACTGGTGACAAGCCCTTGTATCCTGGTGCACCTTTCAAAAGGAGAAAGTGTATTGATGCTGATGTCCTATCTGTTACGGCACAATTTAACCGGCGAGGCACTTACTCACTTACTGGAAATGTTTAACATAATGTTTCCAGGTCTGATCCCATCTTCACATTACATTTTCCAGAAAGAATTTGGAAGTTCATCTAAATTTGAAGTTCACTTTTATTGTGAAAGCTGTTTTAAATACTTTGGCATTAGCACAGACTGTCCCTCCCAATGTCACTCTTGCAACACAGTATTTGATGCCAATGCAAACCTAAAGAATGGCTTTTATTTTCTTGTGTTGCCCCTGTATGCACAGATTAAGCAACTTCTGCAAGAGCATGGTGTCCGTCTTAATGAAAAAACTAGAACATTTGGGGTCCTCTCTGACATACAGTCTGGTGAAGAGTATCAAAATTTATGTGACAGTGGCATTCTTGGAAAAGATGACTTGACGCTTATTTGGAATTGTGATGGCGCACCAGTGTTTAAAAGTTCTAAATGCAGCATTTGGCCAATTCAGTGTCAGGTAATTGAACTGGAACCAGAAGTGAGGAAAAAACATATTCTGATGTCAGCATTATGGTTTGGCCCAAGTA